ACAAAGGCAATACTGAAAAGAAAGACATACTGTTTCTAGAATTCTATCAATATGATATTAGATGGGGGGTCCAACCCCCTTCATAACTTTCCTCATGTCATCCTGTATCACTGTGTCAAGGTGATGCTGATTGATCAAGAAATGTGGAAACGTATAAAGAACAGATGGTTGGAAGGTGCGAACAAACAGACACAAACTTAGCTTTATACATTAGATTATTATATATACCCACAACTGATAAATCTTCACTATACCGATCTTAGATCTCTATCAATAATATGCTTCCATAAATGTGAGGGAAAAGTGTAACTGAATAAACGGTAATTAAAAGGTCTGGCAGATATACATGAGACAGGTTGTATATAATTTCCATTTATTTTAAACATATTAATACTTACTGCATATTGAACCGAACTTGAATGTGAGTGTGGGAAAACATGAATGGTGTGTAAGAAATCATTTTAAGTGTATTATGTTACTATATAGTGCTAGCTTTATTAGGCACAGCTTTACTAGTGTTAACCTTTTTCTCAGAAGTAAGTTATGCAAGGATAACGTACAAGTTTGTACTTCAGACTAGTTACCTGGCATCTACCTGTTTATTTGGTGAATCCACGGTTTCAGAACATTCATTCGGGAACGTACCAACAAGTCATACAAGTCTCTTCGGTCTTAAATGACAGCACAAAGGTTTTGTATGTTGTTGTTTTTTTTCACAAAACGATCTTTTGCAGGTGTAGGCAATATTGTCTGGGTTCCAGAAATATAGACACTGATGTTAAAAACTATGAGGTGTAGACATTATCGCCAGCACTTGGAGGTGTAGTGCTAGTGCTAGAGCTTTAAACATAGACAATAACGTTGAGATTTGAAGTGTAGGCACTAATATGATAACTTTGGAAGTGTATCAGTATCGGGCTTTTAAGATATAAGGTCACAAATGTTAGAACTGAGATGATACAGACGCTAGCGTTACAACATCGGTTGTGTAAGTGGTAATGTTAGAACTTTGAAGGTGTTAGACAACAGTGTCAGGCTTTTAAGATTTGCAGACAAATGTTAGAACTTAGATGGTACAGACACTAGAATTAGAACTTTGGAAGTGTAGATGGTAATGTTAGAACTTTGGAAATGTAAGCACTAATGTAAGAAATCTACAGCTGTAAACCTTATCGTTAGAGTCTTTGTCATGGCTGTAGCCTATATGATCATCTAATGTAATTACTATTTAGTTACTCTCTTTTTATTATTATAGATATTAATTAATGATGAGTGTGATGTCTAACAATAAGAAAATAACTAATCATAATTATGTTAAGGTGGTTATTAAGCCATTAACTACAACAACGATAGATATATACATGATCGCCCCAACTTTACCATAAGCACTATCGTTAGAGCTTTGGATGTGTAGACACTAACGTTATGACTTGAGATGTCTACTAATATTAGGTACAGTATTAGTAGTGTAGATCCTATGATTTTTGGATTTACAAACATAAATATTATAACTTAGACGGTACAAACACTAGTGTTACAGCGTAGTCACCGTGCTCGGTTTTACACAGCTCCTGTAACAAATTGTGCTAGTTAGTTTGGTTTTGTGTCTATTAGTTTCAATAAATATCTATATGTGCTATAAATAGTGAGATATCAAACGAATAA